GGTGTGCTAGATTTAACATTTTTGTTAAATCTACAAATATCGATATATGGGAAATTATTGAAGACGCTTATATTGTATCCACTATGGAGAAATCCAAGTGGAGTAATAATGATAATAGATTGTTTGCTATGAACAAGTCCTTGTTAAAATTTCTAATTGATGCATTTGGCTTATCTTTTGCTAACAAACTTGATTCTTTTGATAGTGCTTATACGTTATGGAAATTAATAGAAGTACATCAAGAGGACTTGGAGGCAATCCGATAACATTTGGAGGATTTGGCTTCAAGTTCAAAAGGAGCCTCATCTTCATGCATACGACCACTAGGCGATAGCCCTAGTGAGGTACGTGAGTCCGACAACGATAATGATTTTACTTTTGATGAGCTCGCACATGAATATGAAAAATTGTTGCATGACCATAAGAAATTAAAACATAACTTTAAAGAATTAAAAAGCAAGCATGTTCAATTGAAATCCGTTTATGAGTCCCTTGTATCTAAGTTTGATTTCATTGCAAATGAAAATGTTAATCTTAAAGAATGCAATGAAAATTTAAGATTGGATATTGCATGTTTGACTCATGATAAAAATAATGTCATGATAGAAGTAGAGGCTAATAAAAATAAATTAGATACTCTTATTTATTTTACTTCTTGTGACAATGCATATATTTTAAATGATGAGTTGAATCAAATAAAGAAACGCATGTCATCCTTAGATTCAACATTAAATACATGCATTGCCAACAATGAAAAGCTTAAGGACTTATGTACAAAGTCCCACAAAAATATTTCCAAGAAACCTATTCACTATGCACACAAGTATAACAAAATTTATAAGTGTTCAATTTTGGCCGTAAAGACCATACTGCTAAATTTTATTATAATGCACAAAAGCCTAACAAGCCTAATCATGTTTGTGCATCCCATCAAGATTCTCCATCTCATACACATATACACACACATAGTGATCATAAACATGCTCATGTGTATAAGTGTGAATTTTGTGGTCGTTTTGATCATTTGGCCAAGTATTATTTTGATTTAAAAAGGAACTATCTTTTGCCAAATGATTCTAAAATACCACGTGTTTAATTGCAATGTTTGTGGTAGATTTGGACATATTGTAAAATTTTGTTATGATTTGCAAAAAGCTTCTATGTTGCAAAATGTTCCAAATAGACCCATGTTTAAAAGTATTTCGCATTTGCAAAAAGCTTCAAATAATTTACTTTTTTTGCAAATGTTCCACGTGCACATCCACATGGTCAACATAAACAAATACATCATCTTCATTGCACTTATTGCAATCGAATGGGTCATTTGCATAATTATTGCTATGACCGGATCCGTGCATAAAATGTGGACAAAAGGGATCATAACCCTAGGGCTTTAAGCTTTAATGATAAGGGTCATGTCCCTAGACTCTTAGGTACCAAGAGTAATTGGATACCAAAACATGTTTAATGTTTAAGAATGAATTCTTTTGCTTTTTAGTTTTTCGTGTTCTTAAAGATGATTTCTATTTAAGTTTTATAAATAAAATTGAAAATAATTTTATACTTGGAATTTGATTTAAAAAGTTATCATTCATATTTTTTCATGATTCTCTTTCATAGATTTTCATGTTTTCATCCTTTATGAATTGATACAATTTTTATCAAGATGATTTTTTATGCTAAAACATCATTTTTGTTAGTATACCTTGTTTTCAATTTTTTAAGTTTGAACAATGTGCTTGTGTTTATGGGATCATTATAAAACACTCTTTTGATGATATTTATGTATTTGTGCTTATGGATCATCAATTAGTGCTTTATAATATACTCTTTATGTGGTTTGATCAAATTTGTCCAAGAAAGATTTCATTTTGTTGATCAAACGTCTTCCTTTTATCATACTTTTTTTAAGATTATATATGAGAGGTTTATTTTTTTAGCAACCCTCCGGATGTATTAATTCTTTGTTTCAAATTTTGTTTATCAGGCATTCATATGGGTTGAAATAAATTTTTCTTGTTTTTGTCGAAAATGAGTATATTGATCGATAAAAGTTATAAATGTTTCGACAAATTTCCTTTGTGATCATGTATATAGGAAAGATGTGTCCATTATCTACATTGATACAAAATAATTTTTTTTGTGGACATCTTTGCCTAACCTCTTTACTTAGATTTTTTTGTGGTTTGAGCATGATTGTCATTTGAATCATGTATTTGCTCAATCATCTTATCTTTGTTAAAATGATACTTTATGCCTTTCATGAATTCTCATTTGGTCTCTTTTTGGTATCATTTTTATTGCCTTTTTTTTGAATTTTTCATGAATAAGATTTTGGCTTTCATAAGTTTTCATAAATTTATACTTTGCTTTTCATGTGTTGAGACATCATTCTCATAATAATTTATTTCTATATGTTCTCAATCAATCATGATTTATGGTTTGATAACTTATGAATTTTCTTTTGGATTTATTGACAACACTACAACAGAAAAGCTAATCCGCGAGGAACAAGTTTGTCGTTGAAAGTCGAGATTTCCTCGCCGTAGTGTGTTGGCGAGGAAAAAACTTTGGTCACCATTTCCTCGCGGTAGGGTGGTCAAGAAAAGTTTCTGTGATGAATATTATAATTTCTCGCGAAATCCTTTCTGCGATAAATATATTCTTTTCTCGTTGTTACTCTTTAGCCTTGATATTTTTCCTCACTTAATCTCATACTTTTTTTATCGCTAAACTATAGTTTCCTCGCCAATGATATGTGAATAATATTTAATTTATATAATAAAAGTTCTAAAAAAAACTATTTTCATCGTTGTAAGTATCTTTCAGCGAGGAAACTGTTCCTCACCAAAGGTAAATCTTTAACGAGGAAATTGATTTTCTTCATTATATGTATCTTTTTCTCGTGAAAACAATTCCTTAGTAAAGGGACTCAAAGATGAGAAAATTTAAATTTGTCGTTGTAGGTAGTACCCCATATTCCTCGCCAAAGAAATTCAATTATGAGGAAATTTACATTTGTCGATATAGGTTATATGGTCTATAACAATGCTACAATATTTATTTTTTTTTGCAGAATCTACGTTGCACGCTATATAATATCGCATGTACACAATATTACACAACACCAAATCATATTCATATACAACACAATCTAATTATATTTCAATATCAAATATAATTATATTCAAATAATACATTAACCAAAATACTAGAGAGATGTATAAATTGTTTACATAGATAATAAAAAATACAATTCTTTACATAACTTGATGAACTTTGTATAATTTATAGAATTCAATTTCATTTACTCTGCCAAGTTGTTGAAGCATCATTAGGCCGAATGCTACCTGTGCATGGAAAGTCCTTCCATAAATACTTTTCTTTTGATAAAAATATATGATAAATACTGATTCATCTACATTCAGTGAGAAATATCATTAGAAAGGTTTCCTACAATAACTGAATGGATGTATCTGATCTGGAATAGGTCTTGAACTTTAGCCTTGGGAAAGAAAAATTAATATAGTTGGAGGGAAATTTGAGGATTTTGTGCTGGTAGTACCTCTGACATCAGAACCCAAGGAATAGGTCCCATTCCTATTGAGTGAAATCTTAAATAAATCTGTATCAAGAAGCAGCATAACAGAACTCATTAGGAATTTTAGAAAACCAAGCATTGAAGTAAGAGATCAAGAATTAAGATCAACATTCTAGTCTAGTTTAAAACATGATCTCAAATGGCTTATCTTAGTTAATATCGAAGTAGAAATTCCAAGTACCAAAAGTAAATGCATAATGGTTCAATTCAGTGAATTCCTATGGCAAAAATAAAATCAAACTTGCCATAAATAAAATCAAATTTCCACCCAAAAAGCTTGGACAATACAGTGAAAATATAAGAGTTCATCAATGTTTGAAATATGTCAGAAGAATAAATTTTGATATTTAGAAGATACAGGTGAAATAAACCTGAGATCAATTCAATGTGACTTATAGTTACAGGATATGAGTTCATATTCAAGCTTGACCTGTTAATATCGAGCAAATTTTTTTACAAACTCCATCTATAGATACTTACATACCTATTTAGTAGACACATGTTCTTTGTTCTTTGCTATTAAATTTGTCACTTATAATTACTGGTGGATGGGAGGAAACATATAAATGTCAGCTTAAATACTTTATGAATTATATAATACATAAAGTACTGCAGAAAAATTGATCTAGGTTACTAAGTAGAAACACTTTCAAGTTCAACCTATGAACCTATCTGGATGAATATATGCTTATTTGCTTTGAGTTAAAAAAATCTTATTCTAAGATCTCAAATTATTCATGATACCCGTCCTGTTTTACAAATTCAAGTTGACTTGTATTACTAGTTCATAAGACTCGTGTCAGTTCGTTCACTTTGATGTTCGACTGAGCATATGTTTCTCATAATTACATTATACGTATGAGAACCACTATTTATACTAGGAAACTATTGGTAAAAACTGATAGAGGATTTTTTTTTTTTTTTTGATCCTACTCAAGTTGACCATTTTACTAGGAAACTATTGGTAAAAACTGATAGAGGAAATGAAGCCACAACGCAAAATGCAAAAAGAAGACGAAAGGAATCTGTAAGTCTATGTCAAGTATGTATGAGTCCAGCATCTATCTTTTTCAACTACACAATAAATTACAGTCTAAGTAATTTGAATAATACTTAAACCACAAATTAAGAAAATTGAAATTACACCCTCTATTCATAGCAAGTCTAAAAGTTTCTAATTATTTTGTGCGAGACATTATGAAACTCACTTGACGAGGGTCTGGACAAGTTGCCGGATTGATTTTGATTTGTGCTTGTACAGAGCATTCATGGACTTCCCAAATTTTGTAGCCTAAGGTTCAAAGGTAATAATCCAATAAGAAATCGATAATGGCACAAGTCGAGAAATACAAGACTTTAAAAGTTAATAAGGAAAAAAATGGAATCATACACTGAGGGTTTCTATTGAGAGCTCCATCAATTGCAGCCTCCTTAATGATTTGGATAGAACATTTTCAGACTGCAAAGAAAACAAAATTTGCCAGAGAAAACTCTTATTCTCTACTATAATGAACTATGCAATTCAAAAAACTCTAATACCAACTTCAAGCCCTTAACTTCCAATTGAAGAAAAGCTAATCATCTGTTCACAACCATATTGTACCAATACCAATAATGTCTAGTATGAAGAAGGAAAAAATATCCAACAGCAACCCATAGTTATGTTATTTCTAGTCGCAATAAATTTTCAAGCAATTGAATTAGCATGGAAAATCACCAAATAGGAAAATGATACCATGTAACAACATTCCCGTGGTCACTTTGTGATTCATATTTAAACAATCCAAAACAGAAGAATAATTCAACTAGAACAATCAAATATTTTGATAGAAGAACTACAAAGATTCCCGAATTAATATTCTGAGATCGAATCTATCCAAAGGAGTTGTAGAAAATAGAATGATTAGGATAAGCCCATGGTGATTAACATTCAAGCCCCCTTGTGCCTTTACTCACTTAAGGTTGATAGCTAGTTCTTTGTTCTCTTTCATAACCTTTGCCTATAAGCTTGCAAGCATTCCTCCGAATCCATTTCAAATACTTCATATTTAGAATCATGTCAGTTATCGGTTGTTCAGCAAGCACAACATCATGTCAACAATGTCTTCATAATGAACATTAAATATATACTAAACAAGTTTAAAATTGATTATCAGTATTTCCCAGCATTTCCCAGCATTTGATGTCACATTTAAGCTCAGAAACATTATGATAGTTTCAGACAATAGGCAAAGATTTCAAAACTATCCGCCACACATCGGATAGCAAACAAAACCAACCACTAAGAGCAAAGAACACAATAAAATGAGCAAAATTAACAACAAAAGTAGAATACCTTTGTTCCAATTACCAAATTGCTCCAATTTCCCCTCACACAAGGTCAATCTCTCCTACGATTTAAACCCACATGCTTAATTATCAATCTCTTAGCAGAAAACAACTAAACCCACAAAAATCAAGATAAATTCTTACAATCTCAGTCTTGATAGGATGATCATCTGGTCGAATTCCAATGCACCTCAATCTCACTGCTCAAAGGAAAAAGAAAAAAAAGATTTTTTTTTATGAAAGCCAAAGAATCAATGAGCTCGGGTTAGGGTTTTATACCTGCCAACAGAGAGGAAGCGGACTGGGCGAGCACGAGGAAAGCACTTGTCCGCTGGAGCGACGACAGCTCGTCGAGGACTCCGGGCTCTGTCGCCGACAAGAACCTGAGGAGATTCATTTGGAGATCGCCGACGCAATCTAGGGTTTCTTTGATTGAATCCACTACCGATTCTAGCACCACCATTCTTTTTGAGGCGAAGCGTGAGATTTGAAATCGAGCTGCAAGAAATCAATTTTGGGGGTTTTTTGTATAAATGGTGGTTCTGTTAGGGTTTTGCTCGAAAAGGTAAGGTTGGAGGGGGTGAGGGAGGAGAAGGTGGTGGAGTCGAGGGGGAGGGGGAGGCGAAGAATGCGGGCTCTTGGCGGGACCAGTAGCGGAGGAGGGAGGCCAAGAGGGACAGCGGGCTCGAGCGGTAGCTAGGCCTAGTCACGGAGAAGGAGGTGAGAGGGGAGGAGCGTGAGTCAGAGCGGAGGAGGATGAGAATTGGGGATCTGAATAGTTTCTAGGTTTTTAAAGAGCGGTGAAATGAAAATTTAGGGGGGAACTGTGGTGCTCGGTCTCAAAACCAAAATATCGGACCCATTCCGTCCAGGATGTCAATCTAGATGGAAAATTCACTTATGGGTTTCCTTAAACCAGATGGAATTATATTCCGTCTAGGTTGTTCTGTATAGTTTGTTTGATTTTCTACTAGTGCTAAGAAAAGAAAATACATCGAAACATAAAAAAAATGAAACTGAATCACAACATCATCCCTTACATAGCCCATAATTATCTTTTGTTGTTAACCATGGTAACAATTGATCATGTACGCTGCTAAAAAAAGTGGATCTTAACTCAAACTATACTTAATAATGATCATTTCAAAATACAACATACTATTTGAATAATACCAATAATATAGTCAGTCAATAACAAGTATAGTTCCTTTTGCCACCAATAGGAGGTTGCTTATGCTGATAAAATTTTGTGGATCTTTTCTGATTTAAAAACACATGTAGATATCACCCCTTTAATATTTATTGTAATATACAATTGCAGTGTTGCTTGGTGCAAAACAACCTCTTAGCTTGAACTATGAGGCTCAGAGGCATATCCAAGACTGTTAAAGCATGCAAAAACATGATATACTAGCAACAAAAGATTAAACAACTTGTCAACATGTGCATGCAGGATTTCAACACAAAATTCCCACCAAAATTTTCGCCAACGAATAATGAGAATATTATTATTTCCTCGCTGATTGGTTTTTTAATAAGGAAATAATTTCTCGCAAAACAAAATTCTTTTAACGAGGAAAGGGTTCCTCGTAAAACAAAAAAAAAATTAGTGAGGAAACCTTTAATTTGTCGTCAATGAATTTGGCGGGTGTTGCACATTTTTCCACCAAATTAATAATGAGGAAACTATAATTTCCTTGCTAATAGGTTCCTTTTGAAAACAAAACGGTTCCTCATAAAAAAAAACTTTTAGTAAGAAAGCCTTAAATTTGTTGTTATTAAAATTGGTGGGTTTTGCACATTTTTCCGCCAAACTAATAATTAGGAAACTATTATTTCCTCGCTAATTGGTTTATTTAACGAGGAAACAATTCCTCGTAAAACAAAAAATTTAGCAAGGAAACCTTTAATTTTACGTCAATGAATTTGGCGGGTGTAGCAAATTTTTCCGTCAAATTAATAGTGAGGAAACTATAATTTCCTCGCTAATAGGTTCTTTTTAACGAAGAACCGGTTCCTCGTAAAAACAAAAACTTTTAGCGAGGAGCCTTAAATTTGTCACCATTAAAATTGGCGGGTTTTTTCCCCCGCCAAACTAATAATATGAGGAAACTATTATTTCCTCGCTAATTGATTCTTTTGATGAGGAAACGGTTCCTCGCAGATTATGGATCTTCAGCGAGGAAATCATACTTTGTCGTTGTTACATTTGGCGGGTTTTCCTCTATTTTCTGCTAAAAGAACAGTAATGAAATGATTATTTCCTCAATAAATGTGCATTTCACGATGAAAAAGTTCATCACCAAAATTTTATATTTCCTCGCCAATAAAATAACTAGTTAGGAGACCAAATCATGTTCATCTTTAGTGAGGAACTAAATTTTTTATCGTAGAAGGTGGTCTACTGTGAGGAAAATATATTCCTCATAGAAGACCTACTGATATTTACTGAGGAAACAATATTTTTCTCGTCGAAAGTGATATTTGTTGAGGAAAATAATTTTCTCGCAAAAAAGTTGGTCGCTAAAAGACCTGTTTGTTTAATCATTTGATTCTTGATTTTTGATTTTTAATCTTTGATTTTTATGTTTAGGATTTGTTATTATTTTTGATATATCCTATGAATATATATCTTTGTGTTAGACCCTTGTGACACTTTGTATTAATAATACACATATGAATGTTCACTTGGTCTTGTATGTGATTTGTGTTTATCATACTTTTATCTATGCTTGCTCACATATTTTTGCCATGTTCATAATTACATATTTTTCATATGACATTTTGATAGAGGGAGCAATCCCTATATCTTCTTATGTTTTATACTCGCCCTTGTTTATTGATAGGGGGAGCTTTCGCTCTCTTATTCTTTTATTTTCCCCATTTTGATGTTGTCAAAAGGGGGAGAAACAAGTGGATTGTGAGTATATTTTAAGAGTATTGTTCTTTATTGTATATCTTATATACTCTTTGTGTAGATTGTTTATCATCATCAAAAATGGGGAGATTGTTAGGTCTTATGTTATGAGATTACATCTTGTAATCTTGTTTTGATGATTATAAATAATTTCTAAAATTGTTTGTCTAGTGTTTATGTTTTCTTATTAGGTACTCAAGACAAACAATATGTTGGAGGATGGATGGAATCAATCATTCACGATCATATCCAATAGAGGTTGTCGGGATTGTGGAGTGAAGCTATGCATTCAAGTCAAGATCCAAGTTCAAACTTCATCCGCAAGTTTACCAAGACGAGCATATTGAAGATCTATTAATCTTTGGTATATTAGTTGTTTTGTAGCGTATATTGTGTGAATATATTTCAAGCTCAATATATATATACCCACACAATTTTGATTTTATTACAAAATGAGTTTATTTGAGAAAACAATGCAATATTGGTTTATTAATCTTTTTATTTGAGAAAACAATGCAATATTGGTTTATTAATCTTGTTTACATTACATTCATGTTTTATAACGTTTATAAAAACTTACATTACATTCATGTTTTATAACGTTTATAAAAACATTTCATAAAGTTTCCACATGTTCTTACATGTTATTTTCAAGATTCAACAAAAACATGTATTATGTATATTTTTGATAAACGTTGAGTTTTCACAAATATGATGACCTTTTTGCAAAATTCCTTTTCAAACAAGTTTGTCAAAATGTTTATAATCTATTTACAAAGTTTCACATTTTTTGGAATTTCTTTACTATTTTTATAGAGCCTTGAAACTCAATTTCAAAATCGATTCAGGCTGATAACCTGTTATTGATCGACTGGTCAGTCAACTGATAACATTAGTCGACTGATATGTCGACTGATAAAAGTACCTACAATAATCAAAAGTCTCTATTTCATTTTAGTCGACTGGCCAGTCGACTGATGATCCATCAGTCGACTGATAAAAGGTCATTAGTCGACTGATAAGCTGTCGATTACCTATAACGGTCAGCTCATCAGTCGACTGATGAAACTCGTCAATCGAATGATAGGCCTTCCAATGGCTAGTTATGTGCAGTTTTTAGATTTTTATTTTTTTTGAGTTGTTTTGTCTTTTTCTCTGGGTTTTGACTGATGTCTTGAGTGCCTATAAATACCCCAGTGCATTCAACTCTTGAGGTCAATCAAGAAAATTGTTTAATCAAGTTTTGAAAGAGTTTAGTTTGTGTTTAAGCATTGTTTTAAGTTTGTTTCAAAAGAAGAGTTTTTCACAAGGAGGAAGCTTTTGATTTCAACTGAGGAATTCATCCTCATCATCTATCTACAACTCCTTGTGTTTATAGAGAAGATTTCTAACTCTTTTATCTAGCTTATTTATCTTTTGATTTTCATATTTATATCTTAGCTAGTTTTATTTGAGTTAGAATTTTATTGTTCTCATTTATCACTCACACCTCAATTGAGCTTTTAATATTATTCATACAATATATTGTTGGGGTTGTGGTGAGTGATTTAGTGAGAGTGAGCTTCATAGTGTTCTCATTCATTGTTAGAGAACAAATCATTGTACTTGAGCTTCATTTGTAAGAATCACCTTGTAATATACATTTACACCAAGAGGAGTGTGTGGTGAGGACGTAGTCGGTACCAAGAGGAGTGGCGTCGGTAGTAAAGCCTAGAGAGAGATAGTAAAGCCAAGCACTTGAGGGAGGCGATACGTGAGGACCAACACTTGAGTGGAGTAATAATGATAATAGATTGTTTACTATGAACAAGTCCTTGTTAAAATTTCTAATTGATGCATTTGGCTTATCTTTTGCTAACAAACTTGATTCTTTTGATAGTGCTTATACGTTATGGAAATTAATAGAAGAACATCAAGAGGACTTGGAGGCAATCCGATAACATTTGGAGTATTCGGCTCTAAGTTCAAAAGGAGCCTCATCTTCATGCATACGACCACTAGGTGATAGCCCTAGTGAAGTACGTGAGTCCGACAACGATAATGATTTTACTTTTGATGAGCTCGCACATGAATATGAAAAAT